TGACCCAGAGGGGAGGGAGCTCGGGTTTCCCACTTCCCAGCTGTGGTTCTTATTCACTAGTTTGCATCATCACATAGGCAAGTTTCAGGTGTTCATGTGTTGAAAGTAGAAAGAACAGGTCCAATGTGAGGGCATTCACGCCCCACCCCCCGACCCCCAACTTACTACCCAATCTCATGGCAGCTTCACTTCGCTGCACCTGGCACCTACGGAAGCACTCAGGTCGCTCCTGGTCTGCAGCGGAGACCGCCCGCCCCTCCTGCCTTCTCTCCCCGGCTAACAGCCCCGTCCACTGTCTTTCTGTCCACAGCTGCTCTGATGTTGCGAGGTCCCGCGGTCCCCACACGGATGCTGCCTGTCTCAGGAGCCCTTTGATGTAGCCAGGAGAGCTTTGCAGTGGGAGGTCTGTGGCGGCATGGGCTACATTCAGTTTACTACCATGGGTGCAGCCTCCCTTAGTACACTGTTCCAGTCGATTCCTTGTTCTGGGAACCAACCATGACCCTTGTTGTCACTGGGTCTGGGCACCCCTGGGTGTGAAAGCACAGCGCCCCAGGAAAGCCTTCTTCAGGCAGGCTTGGCCGCTGGCTAGTTGTGGGGACTCAGGCAAGTTAGTGAATTGCAGCAGGCCTCAGTTTCCCCCACGGTGACTCCGGGAGCAGGTTACCCCTGCCCTGGGGCTTTCGAGAATGTTCAGGGGATAAAGCACGGGGAGCTCTTGGAATGAGCGCGGGAATTGCTCTTCTTTCTCCACACCCAGCCGCTCAGAGACCCCACTGCCTCTTATCACCCCCAAAGTGTTTCCAGAATCAAACGAAGGGCCTCTCACCACCCCACTGCCACTTGGGGTGGAGTCACACTCCCGGAGGGGTACCCTTGGCCGCCTCCCCACTGCAGCCAGCAAGGGACTTTGCCTGCTCCAACACCCCCCACTCTCCCCCTAGAGGTAAGCCAGGTCGTGCAGGGGGCCCAGGCAGCTCTGGCTGGCCCCTCCCGCGGGCCCTTGGTCCTCAGGGACCCCTGCTGGGGATGCAACCCCTGGCCAGCACTCAGCAGTCAGCCTTGGGCTAGAGCAGTCCCCTCCCTGTCACCGCCTGCAGGAGAGGTGTGACCTCAAGTTCACAAAGGTTACCTTTAACTCCTCCAGTGGCTGCCCAAGGTCAGAGCCAGACGGATCTCACCCGCCAGCTTTCTGCCCGGAGCAGAAACTCAATCCAGCAGCTGCGCCCTCCCACCTGCAGCCACTTGGCCTGGCTTGCCTCGCCTCACCGCAGCGAGCTCTGCCTGCCCAGGGCCACGAGGGCGGGCCACGAGGCCCAGCGCTGCTCCTTCACCCCACAGCAGCCCACGCTGATCACAGGCCGCAGCTCAGGAGCCACGACCCTGCCCACACACCTAGCACCTCCTGAACGCCCGCTGCTCGCTCTTAGGCTTCTGTCTCATCCCTTCCAGAGGTCGGCTGGAGGATGGCTCGTGCTGGCAACACACGTGCACACACACACGCTCACGCCTGGCGTGCCCGCCTCGGTCCAACGTCACTGCACGCGCGTGGCTGTAACTTTAAAAAGCAGAGAAAGGCCCTCCCTGGTGGCGCAGCGGGTTAAAGCACTGCACTGAGAAGCTAAAGCCACTTCCGCCATGAGTTCGATCCCCGCCTGCCCTGGAGGAGACCACATGGCGTGGCAGACCTCTCCTGACCCGCCCACTGCTCCCCTCAGCAGTGTACTTGGTCGATCTGCCTGTTCTGCTCCCCACTCTGTCTCTGGTGAAATCTCTCACTGCCCCTGAGTCTCTGGCCTGTACCCCAGTTCTGTATGTACAAATAAATGAATCTTTTAAAAAAAAGCAGAGAAAAAGGACAGGGGAGTCTGGTGGGTAGCAGACAGCTCTCTCCTTGCTCTCCTAAGTTCTGGTTCAAATCCTGCCTCAGTCCACAGCGGGCTCCATGGTCGTAGGAAAATTATTCAAGCTGGTCATTCCTCAGTTTTCTCATCTCAAAGGGGGATAATAAGACCTTCGTTGGTGGTGTTGCACGGATTCAAGGGAATCCATCAATCCACACTGTCAGTAAGAGGGAGGGGGCGCTCAGGACCCCGCTGTGGGGCGCTCGGGCGGGTTACCCAGTTTCTCGAGCCGCCTTTCCCTCTGCCGGTAAGTGGGAAGCCAGAAGTCAGCCTTGGGCTAGAGCAAGTCCTGGCCAGAGCGAGACTTTCCTACTCCAGGGAGTTAACGCAGCTCATTGGAATCATCGTTCAGCTGTCTGGCTCGGGTGTCTCACTCCTGGTCAGCCGGGCTTCACTTAGCACTTAGAGGCCCTTGTGTTCTGGAGAATGGCTGGAGCACCGGCACACGACAGTTTTCAGCCGAGGGAGGGGGCAGGCAGGCAGTGTCCATCCCTCTGGAGACAGAGACAGGTGCGGGGAATGCTTGGCGGAAGTCTGCGGAGGCCTGGTCAAGGGTTCGGAGAGAAGTAGGTGTCCCAGGACCTCTTTCCTTTTGCCCCTGACTTGCAAGTCAAACTGGATGCACTGGAGAAAATTCAGTGATGCTGTCTGGATTAGTGCGGGCAGAGGGAAAGGAGATGCGTGCAGAGAGCACCCCTGCGCTCACTTATCTGTGCAATATAAATGAACAAAAGCCACATCCCTGCGAAGCACGGCAAACACAATTGTTAGCCTTTGTGAGAAGTAAACAGGTCACCCAAAGAAACCCAGGAGGGGTGTGCGGGAGAGTGGGGGGGAGCAGGAGCCAAGGGAAGAACACGGGCCTGGGAGGCTTGGTGGAGGGTGAGGAGAGCATGTGCACATTTGGAGGAATAAAAATGTGTCTCCAAAGTTATACACACGTGTAAGTGACTAGCTAAAAAGGAGTCCCCAAGACCCCAGTGAAGGAAGGCTCAGTTCTAAGAGTAGAAAAGGCATCCAGCAATGTGAGCTCAGTGAATTTGTGTTTCTCACACTTTGATTCCTTCCACCCACCCATGCATGTACCCATTCATGCATGCACCCAGACATGCCTGCACCCATGTATGCATGCACCCGTTCATGCATGCACCCACGTATGCATGTGCCCAGACATGCCTGCACCCATGTGTGCACGCACCCATTCATGCACGCACCCATTCATGCATGCACCCACGTATGCACGCACCCATTCATGCATGCACCCACGTATGCATGCACCCAGACATGACTGCATCCATGTATGCACGCACCCGTTCGTGCATGCACCCACATGTGCATGTACCCAGACATGACCGCACCCATGTATGCATGCACCCGTTCATGCATGCACCCACGTATGCA